CGGCGGCGCCGCTCGCTGTCTGGAAATCTGCAGTTTGTGTGTTCTTAAATTTGCAAAATATCCCTGTGAGATTTAATAAGAAACCCTTCTGTCCTGTAGGAAGGTGCGTTTCAAAGCCCGCGCTGGAAGTGAATGTTCCCGGAGTATTTCCCTTCTGAGCACTTCCTCAACACTTGTGAGGTGAAAATTTCTCAAAAACTCCCGTATTTAATTTTCACTGGCACTAGTGCTGCTTTACATTCCACTGGTCTATAGCAGAAAGCCTTAAACTGGATATAAACATAGAGCAAATTGCCTTTACTCTAAAGCCCCTGTGCTTTGCCAGAGCTCTGTAAAGTGGGCCCAGCTATTTGAATTATATTTTAATGTCAGTGACAGCTGAACTAGAATTAGTTCATTACGTTTCTAGTGTGTAATAAATTCAAGAGCAAAAAACCCTGAACTGTACAGCGTCCTCTAAAACACCAGGGAATTAAGAAAAAAAAAAAAAGAAGAAATAATAAAAAAAAAGGTGACAGAGTAACTTTTCCCGTGCTCAGAAACTGAAACGCCTGCACAGCACGGGCAGGTTCCTGCCGCTCTGTAACTGGGTCACGTTGGCTCCGGGCGTCGCGCTGACATCGGCGATGGCTGCAGTGTGCCCCAGCCCTCTTTAAACATTTATGATTTTACCAGTAAGACCCACAGAGGCTTGGTGGGATCAATGAACTGTGCTTTTGAACAACCTACTTCTTTCTCAGCTTCATTCTATTTGTCTTGTTGAGACAAATAGAATATAGATTGTTTCAATTTCTCTTTTTCCCATCTTTTTTTTTCCTGCATGTATACAGGTCGATGTTCACCAACGGCTTGTCAGGAGCACAGATCATGACAGCGTGGACTTTTAGAAAGCTGCTGGTCATAAAATTTAACATATTTCAAAAAATACAACCACGAAAGGTGCTATAGTACTGAAAGAGTTTCTAGGTTATGTGTTGTCAGTTACTTGGTTTTGTGATTCTTACCCATCTTTATTTAAGCAAACTAAAATTTGGTCAAGTTCTGTCCATCTTCTTGAGTTCTCTGGTAGCAGCTCAGAATGTTGCAGGGCAGCTGGGGATGTTATGTGGCCACCGTAATGTTTTGCATTTCTTGAATTGTTATCATTCCCTTAGCCCCCTGCAGTCTTCTCAGACAGTAACATTCCTGAATTGACTTGTTAAATGTGTCTAATGCTTTATTTCAGCTAAGAAAATGAAAATGGACAATTCTTTAGAGGAGGCTGATGAGACTCCAGCTGAACTGTACAAGGTCAGGATGGTCACTTGTGAGGAAAAATATTCAAAAAATGCATTTAGCCTATGTTCCCATGTTACCTCTGAGGTAGTGTCAACACTGTCACTGCAAAATGACACCAAATAACTAAATCTTTCTGTGGTTAGGGTCAAGCGTGGTGTATACAGTTATTTATTCCTGTTTATTCTGATTCCTGCAGAAGTGGCCAGCAGAGGGCCACCTCCTTTTACAATATTCTAGTGGGAGAACATGAAGAGAATGAAGCAAACACTAAGGAAAAATGTAGGTGACTCCCAGAAAAGGGCAGGATGGACGGTTCAGGAAACTGCATTAAAAGTACATGAAATAAAAAACATTTTTATGTGGTTGACCAAGTTCAAACTTGATATGAACAAACGGAACACCAGAGAAAACAGGCCTGTTTACATGGAGTTTGAGTTTAGCTTATAATACATTTTCTAAAGAAAAGAAGACTTTACATTCCACTTATAGTACATTTCTATTTACAAGATTGGTTAGAAATGAGAAGTGTAATCATCTTTTTTACAGATAATAAGATAAATATTTACAAGCATTTATGGTATCTCCACTTCTGAGTGGCCGAAGTCAGCTGGGAGTCCCTCTTCTGCCAACGATAAATGTGATTTACTAAAACGACACCGTCTTCAATATTCCCCACAAGGAGATACACCATAGGACGATGGGGCTGAGTCATCCTCTCTGTGCAGTTTTCATTGATAAGCAGCCACTGTTGTATCATATTCTGCGTTTCATAAGGCAGAACTGAACCCTGGATGATGAACTCCACTTGGCATTCAATGTTAAAATCTTGGTGACCAAGTACTGTTCTCTTTTTGGAGAGCTTTACTTTCACTGCTAAGGAAAAACAAACAAACAAAAAAGAAAACATGTAAATCACTCCATTTATTCAAATATATTAAGAAACACTACCAGCTGAAGTGGGAAAATTCCTTAAAAATACTACTGTAATTTATGATGGCAGAGTAGGGTGACATCTTCTCCAGCAGCAATATACACTTTGAAACATTTAAAATAAAAGCTATGTTTTTTTTTTTTTTTTTAAACTGAATCATGTAACTGGGAAAGCATAATGTTTTCATAAAGGAGGCTAATATATTGTTATCATCATGGTGTATGTTAGAATTCGTGAATAATTAGATCTAACCTTAATAATTAGATTCTAACCTTATTAATTAGGTATTTTAAGGATTATTCTAACATCACAAGGCAGCCCAAGCAATTCTACTGCCACTTTGTTGATATGATGAACTGGTAAATCTTGCTAATACCAATTTTTCTAGCTATTACCTTTTCATTGCAGGCATCTACCTCTCCCACTTAACTCTACCAACACTTAATGCATCCCTAGGAGTCCCTGTTGACTTCAAAGGGCTTTGCAGGAAGTTTCTAGGGCACTGCCTGTCACTCCACTAAGACAACATGAGCTAAGAATTGCTTTTTACTGTTATAATTTGTGGAGTCTTCTTTTGAGTAAGCTGTTTGTCACTAAAAAAAAAAAACTCATGCTCACAAGTAACAAGGACCCTTACTCATTGGTTTCCTTTGGATTTAACAATGAATAAGACAGACCTGCTTTTGCCACATGTATTTCCATTTTACAATAGCCAACTAGAAAAGAATAAAAAGGCTACTTGGTTGTGAAATAAATGGTAAACCTTTCATGCAAAATAAATCCTCCTTATGTTTTGTTTAGAAAGAACATAGTCTAAAAAGTAACCTTAGGTTGTTTAAGTCAGCAACCAAACTCTCAGGATTTAGACTTTGAAATCCCAGCAGAAACTGCCACTTATTTTAATCCTGATTTTAAAGCATTTTAGAAGAGCTATTTGTTTCTCTAATAGCTGTTATATTAGCAAGAACTTACCAAAGTTATTGTCACAGAAAACTTCAAGAACTCTTTTGTGCGTAAAAAATTCCTCCACTGCTGGGCAGCTCTGGCACGCAGGCTTTGGTAGCACTGATAAGAAGTATCAAAGTCTCATTATTACCTTCCAGAATCTTTTTAAAATTAATTTATGGCTGTGAAAGTTGGGAGTTTATTCACACGCAAACCAAAGAAAAAACGGAACAATTCTGTTCGTGATCCTGGGTACAGCTAGACTGGGATTGTGAATGTATGAATTTGGATGTGCCAGCTGATTTCTATGCTTTACTACAGAAGTTAATAAGCCTGAGCACATCTCAGGATTTGAGCACTAAGCCCACAGTGTCTCAGGCTTCCCTAAAGAAAATCTGATAATAACTCCCCTCAGCTGTTCTGAGCAGATCTAAGACCTATATTCATATAGGTCTTACATATAAACTTATATAAGCGTATATAAGTTTATCACATCCCACAGTGATAAGGGCCATTGAAAATAGACTACAAAATAAATCCAGTGTGCTCCAGGGGACCAAATACACGACTCTGTACAAAATCAGGCTGCCCGGGAAGCAGAGCCCGTGTCTGTGCCGGACCCCGTGCACCGCGTCCCCTCGCCGCTGCCACCCACCTTTGTGCGGGCGCCCGTGCTCCTTGGCGAGGGCCGCCAGGCACATGTCGTCGCCGGCGGGGAAGCGGTCGCAGTCGAGGCTGCGGGGCCAGGGGTGCCCGTGGCAGGCCAGCACCGGGGCGCAGCGCTCCCGCACCGCAGCGCACATGCTCCTGCAGGGCTGGATGAACCTGTGGCGAGGGAGACGCGGCGTGAGCAGCGCCGCTCGCGCAGGGCGGCGGCGACCGTCCCAACAGCTCCCGCACCGGTAGCCGCTCTTCTCCAGGTACAACACAGCTCTACACATAGCAGCTCTGTGTATTTTACCTAAGTGGTCTGTGCATGGACTGGACTGTGCTTATAAGTCGCAGTTTTAAAAACTTTTTTATTGCTATCCAATAAAAGATTTGGCAGAAGTATAACTTTATTCACAATAGATGTTAAATTCAGTGGCATTCAGGTTTAATCCTAAAGTGAAAACGAGAATAACGTTCTGACTGCAACAAAATAAAATACAGCATTCTTTGGCAACAGCATTCTTTTTAGAACATGTTTGCGGTACATTTTTCTCCAGTGAGCAGGAAAGAAAGTTAATAAAATTATTTCAGATAAGCAATGGGAGTGGAGGTCCCCTTTAGATAAACACACGCTTGATTTGATCCCTCCTCTGGATCAAACCCAGCCTTCCAGAGGCTGGATTTTTGTGCTGCGCTGTGGTACTTACGTGTCTAGACAGATGGGAGCAAAGAGAGAGCACAGGAAGGTCCTCACGTGAGGGTGGCAGTCGGTGTGCGCCAGGCGCTGCCAGGCAGTTGACTTCAGGATAACCTCCTCCATGCTCGTGTGGCCCATCAGGTTGGGAAGCCTCATCTCGGTGTACCCAATCTTTTGGCACATGGCCATCTCCTTAGGTATGGCCACACATTTGGTGGATAATCCAATGTCAAAGCCCGTTGCCATTCCTAGGAAACCGCTCAGAGCCAGAGCAAGTATCTTTGCTGCCCAAAACATCTTCTGGTGGCTCCCAGACTGCAGGATAGGAGATGTCAGAAGCCCCAAAGCATCAGACACACTGAAAGCCCTGGGGCTTATATACCCCAAGAGCTTAGTGAAGCATTGGTTATCAACTGCTCACCAAATCACTTGAGACAAGACCTGGGGTTATTGCCTGCTCCCGATTGTTGTGATAACCAGGGAGGTGGGGACGCCAGCACAGACGTGTGTCCCTTAAAGCCGCAGGTTCCACGGAGGGTTTCCCCCGCCTGGCGCTGCCGCTTGCTGCAGCTGTGGGGCATATTAAATTCTGACACCTGGAAGGCTTGCTGTGCGCTCGCTAAATCAAATTAAGAGATCCCCTGGAAAAAGGGCCGGGCAGACAAGCTGTCTCCTAGGGCTGCCGGGGCTGCTTTGTTTTCAGATACTGCTGACTGGGCAGAAAAAACAGCCCAGATCGACTTATCACGTGAAAATGTTTTCCTTGTGCTAATTGCTTGTGTCTCTTTCACTAGTTTACATTTTAGGAGAGACACTTTCCTTATTTAGTCTAATTCTATAAAAACAAACAAACAAACCAGTTTAGCGCTATTAAGATAGCATTTTGTCTGGAAATTTAGATCCCTACCATGACATGTTAAACATTCCAGCTTCTCTTAATTTCAAGAGGCACCCTAAAATAAAGAATTGTTTTATCGGTTAGGGTATCTGACTATCAGCTGGCTACAAAAATTCCACTTTTCATTTGTGATGGTCGTGGATCAAATCTTTTCTGACAGAAAAATATTGTAGGACTGCTGTAACTGTTGATACTCACTTGAAATGAAAAGCTGGTTAAGCCTGTCAAGTATTGTTATTATTTCAGTTGAAAATAGATCCCCTTACAAATGCTCAAATAATTCACTATTTCACATATTTTGTTATGGAATTATAATTACATTAAAATTTGGGAAAACAAATACCAGGTATGTACTTGTTCAACTTGTAGCATACAAGCCAGTATTATTCTGTCACATAATAAATTAAAAAAAAAACAGAATTACTGACAGTCTGGTATTACTATTCTTAGTGTAGTGCTGAAAAACAGCTGGTAGCTGTAGAGCTGAGGTTAAGGAATCAGTTCAGGTCAGAGAGAATCTGAGTAATATGCAACTTGCCTATCACGAATAGAAAGGGTTCATCATGAAACAGATAAAGGACAGAAGATTTTAAAAACAGATTTGATGAAAGCACTTTTTCCAACTAGATGTGAGTGTTCCTTTCTATTTTCATTTCTTATTATGTATTTATTAGCACATATTTTTAGATATCAACAATATAAAAGTGCATTGACTGATATTAAATCTACTGTAAAATATATGGCTTGATTGCTAGACTAAAATAAGAATGTTCATAATAGTATATTGCAGCTACTAGATACTGATGCTTCATTACACATTTTTCAGAAACAATAGATTTTTATGCTCATAACTAGATACAGTCCACATAGACAATTTGATGCATGTCACCTATATGGCCATACCTAAATATTAGATTCTTAATCCCAGCATCAGTGAAACCCAGGAGAACAATGACAACCCCCCACTAATTTCTCCTTACCTGTTTCCTTTATCTTAAGCTACTGGAAAAATTACAGTTTCTGTTTAAATATACCTAGAGTTCTAGGAACTAAAGACATGTTTAAAAAGGGAAATGCTCGCTTTTTCTTTTCATGTTTTGTTTCTGGCTCTGAGTTTTTTTCCTATTAATGTGGTTTCTTGGTATCTCTTACCTCACTTCAAAGCAGAGGAACCCAATACCTAGCCAAGCTTCTCTGGCTCAATTAACCACCTCATGGTAGTGGCCTTTTGCCAGGTGCTTCAGGTATTCCATAAAAAAGTTAGGGAGCCTTGTTCAGACCCTGTGAAAGGGGTAGGACCCAGTTAGACCCAGTCCTGCTCTTGCTCTGTCCATATGGGTATCACTGGGAGCCACAACTTCATGTGGCTGTTCCTAGCATCATTTTGCAACAAAAATCTGGCAGGAAGTTATCTTGAGCTGAGCGAGGAAGCCAGGCTGATGCTCCAGAACAGCTGCAGAGCCTCTTTCAACTGGTCTTTCGTAGGATCTGGCTCTCAAGCGTGCGCCGAGCTCAGCCGCGAGTCCAGCTCCTATGCATGCGCGTAGGAATTTTTCTATCTTTAATTGGCAGTGGAAGCAGGAATTCCCCCAGCACAGAGGTCTAGGGATATTTTGTGCCTCGGCTCTCCCCTCCATGAGCTATTGGGGCTCTTGGCAGGCAATGTAACAGGAGAGAGACTCACCTCGTGCACAGCTCTCACAGACTCGAATGCCTTACAGACACCTTGACCCCTCCTTTGTGGTACTGTTCTCACTTGGTCGTTATCTAAACTTAGTGGCAAGATCTCTGGGGAAGGACCCCTTTCCACCACACGTGTGGCATGGCACCATATACTCATTTCTGAGTGGTGTAGGACACATTAATAACAAGGTATTTGGTCTCAATTATTTAGCCCGCCTGTGTCGCGGGCCTGTGCCCAGCCTGGCGATGGCCCTCACACCAGCTCCCAGGCGCAGAATTAGAGATCTGCTGTGGAGAGCCCCCCAGAACCATTTGTAGACATAATGAGGAGTGGGGAGACCAAAATGATCTCCCAAGAGCTAACGCCTCCCCTAACGAGCCTTGTCCTTGCCGCGACTTTCTTAGAAGTAAATGATGCATCTCCGAGTCACGGCTTCTTACTGGGGCTTCTTGGGGGTAAATCATTTATGAACCACCACACACAGAGTTTTTAACCATGGATATGTCTCAAGGAAAGTTGACCAAGTTCCTTGCTTTTGGCCAGCTGACTCTCAGTGGGTCATAGTTTTATAATTCTATAGAAAATAATGCTTCTTTGTGCAAGGGCACTGGTATATTTGGAGGCTGACAGCTTGGCCAAGCGGAGAACCGTCGGGCTTCAAGGGCAGAAACTCCCCAGTTTCGTAAGTGGGTGCAGACTGCCAGAGGAATCACACAGCAGCTGCCCTTCTACACTGCTTCTGTTCCTCCTCATTTTACTGTTTCTTCGTTGTTTAAACTGAAGTCAACAAGACCTCATGTATTTGTCATGAATTATGAAGCATGATGATTCTAAAGTTCCTTGACATGGTTGAAAAATTATCGCTGGCTCTGAGAACAAACAAGCAGAAAAACAAACTAATGTATCCGCTGGCTATTTATCATTGGATTTGTTTTAAGTAATGTTGTTAACATTATCCGTAATTCCAGTCAGTCCCTTTTGTTAGCTGTCTTCTGTCAGAAAAGAGGATGATTTGGGGGAACTTCTGGTTTTGGTCTTTTTTGACAGAATCAATCCAATCTTTTTGGATTCAAGATGTTAGCTGAGTTAGATTGCTTAGCCTGCACTAATTTCAGCATCATCATTTACTAAGGAATTTATCAATTTGACACTTCTTTCCTCTACATTGAAAAGTCGCTTTTAAGTATGGGAAAGACTCCGGCTACGCTTCTCCGTTGACTTAATTATTTTGATATTCTTCATGAGAGGATGTCACCCTGACACTCAGTTTGACAGCAAGCCATTATCATTTATCATTTTTAGCTAGAGTCCTGTAGAGCTGTTATTAAAAAGGCACATTAAATTGCTATTGCTTGGAAAGTGATTCAGGTGAGTCATATGTCGACTCCTTGGAAAACCATGAGCTACGGAACCCAGTGCAGCTGTACCATGCTTTCATTTTCTTTCTTTCTGCTTTTTTCTTTTGCAAACATTCAGAAATGTTATGCAATTATACGTGCAGCTTGCTTTTAGGCACACATTAAGCTATGATTTGCTGTTTCCCTTTAGCTATATATTTTAATTCCAATTATGTAAGAGCTGAAAGGGCTGCCATAATTCTGACAGCGGTGATTTCTATGCACAGGTTTCCTGAATAAAGACTGTCTAGCATAGACTTCCCGAATAAGACTGTCTAGCATAAAAAAATATATTGTTGAGCAAACTATGAAAAGAATTGCAGATGTCCAGGCAAAATGTAAGACCTGAAGTTTAGAGAAGCTTTGGTCTCCAAGTCTGGCTTCCAGCTAATTCCTTTGAAACTCTGGAAGAAAGCCGTGTGGTTGTTCCATTAGCCACGGGCTGTATTTATTGTTCCTGGATATGAGGACCGGTCACCTGCTGATGGACCCTGATAACATGAATAGTTGTTGGAGACTCCCTCCCTGCCCACCTCTGTTTTGCTTCCTTTGACTGTTACCAGGGAGACAGACAGAGATTAACCAGGAGCCACTCATCAGACCTTATAAGAAATGGGACTGAAATGTTCTTCAAAGAAAGTGGGCGTTTGAGGGCACACCAGCAGGCCTTGGGATATTTAGTTTTAAACTGAACATTTGTTGCAATATTCAGCTCCAGACGCTTTTATTGAAAGCGTAATTGCAGAAATGCCAGACTCTTAGACAAGGATCAAAACTTGTAACTATACATTGAGAGTCCTAAAAGGGCCTTCGGACAGGCAGTTGTCACTGTGGTGACAGCTTGGCTGGATCAACACACTTACTCTGTGGGGCGTCGATTATATTTTTTTCCATTATTTTATTAAAATCCAATTAGGCCATGTATGGTGTCTGTAAAACAACATGGAAAAGTCAAGATGGTTTCTCTTAATTTTCTCATCGCAAGGGTGATGCATTTTGCATTACATCATTAAAAAAACAGCAGTACAATTTTTCTCTTTAAAATCCATGTAAATCTTTAATGCAAATAGTCAAAGGCTCACTGTCCTGGCATGCTAAGATTTGTCCTTCTTACTGTTAATTGATTAATTGAGAGGAAGTTTTGCTTAACAGTGAAAGTTCAGGCTTTGGGTGACCCAAATTTAGTTTCATACTCTGCCACAGCCTTTCT